GTATGTTTGAAATTTTCTGTAATAAAAAGGTATGAATTCTGTCACTCCTATGTCTCCCCAGATGAAGCCATTGAACTCAAAAGAGTAAGATCAAATGTTAGATCAAATAAAAGTTTTATAACATAAATTACTTCCTTTAAGTTGCTTTCTTTGGTCTTGAAAGCCTTTTAACAGATAGAAGTTAAAATATTATGGAAAAATAAAAGACCATTGTCACAGTCTGTTAATCCTATATGCTTCCCATGAGAAGGATAAATAGTTATATGGCAGTTTTATGGAATTCAGGACCCAATATAGAAAATTTTCCTAAAGGACTCTCTAACACTCCATCCTTCCTTTTCTTTTTCTTCTTTTAAAATTTTTAAAATCAGGATGGGAGGCAGATGGGGAAAAAATGGAGGCATGAAAAAATCTCCTATTTGACTAGTTAAAGCAAAGTAAAGAATGGGGCTGGTGGCCTTTTGTTTGAGATACTCAGGTGTGATAGAAACAAACATACAATAGGTCTACAAGTACAGCCATCTGAAGTTTCCAGCTAACTTTATCCTAATAGAGCATCATTTAGAAAGCATGGCGAATTCAGCAAATGGCTATTTTGGGAACTAGCACCTGGCTTGCTCCTGGACTCCAGCAAAGTACAACAACACTTAACCACAAAATACTTGGTGATTATACATCCCCAACTGATCTCAAACCCTAAAACAGAGGGTACTTCATCTATCAAGTGCAAGTGGTCCTATAAGGCCAGGCTCAAGTCTGAATATGCATGAAAGTTGCACAAGCTAACTGTCTACATTCCTAATATGTCCACTCTCATCACATGCCATCCATCCCTCAGCCAATGCCAATGACCTCACAGTTTCCTATGATCAGTGAGCCAGGAGAGGAAACGTTTCAACTTTTTACGGAATACTCAGCACAGGACACTGGTAGTGGCCAGCAGTGTACTACTGTGTCAGGTATTACATTCGGAGTGCTCCTGGCAGACTACAGAGAAGGGGAATCCTTCTAGAGGGCAGAACTCAACACCTCAGCTTGTTGTCCACTTTCCTTGTTAGGGAAGATGTTCCGAGGTAAGGCCCCCCCAGGGACACACAAAAAAGTGGTCAACTGTTAACTTTATGGTCAGGGACTTGGAAGGGACAAGATAAGAAAATCGATGACAAGGAAGATTGGAGGAGATATGTAGGTGGGTTTAAGACCCTCTTAAAATGGGTCTAGGCTATGAGAGTATTTATTCACCTTGAAGATCTTCAGAACGGGGGAGACGCTCAATAACCTGGTGAACAAGGTGACCTATTCCATGGATGTCAGTCAGCCTCCCTCCCTAGTCACTCCAGTACTTGCCCAATGGATTCATAAATTAAATTGAGCCCAGCTGAATCACATGGGCTTCCCCTTCCCAAGGTTGACATGTTTATTGCCACTGAAGTGAAGTCACTCAGTTGTCTGACTCTTTGTGACCCCATGGAGTATAGCCCGAAAGACGCCTCTGTCCATGGAATTCTCCAGGCAAGAATACTGGAGCGGGTAGCCATTCCTTCTCCAGTGGTTCTTCCCAACCCAGGGGTTGAATCCAGGTCTTCTGCGTTGCAGGCAGGTTCTTTTCTGTCTGAGCCACAGGGAAGCCCTTATTGCCGTTACTGAGGCCCGATTTATCAGCAAGTCACAAACCCTTAGCCTCCTGCACCAGGGGACAGTCAGGCGCCTGGAGGTAGTCAGGCACTACAAATCAAACATGGTAGTGATTTAACCCCCATGGGAACAGATACTTACTCTGATTTGGATTTGATTCCCCTGCTCACCACGTCTCTGGCAGCACTACTGCCCCAAGCTTGTTAAGAGCCTTATGCTGTCGTGATAACTCACACATATGAATCATGTTCATTTAAATGCACAAAGAAACCCAGCACATTTTGAATATGGAATCCCATTAGCCATAGGTCTATCTTATTCTTATGCATGAAAAGAAAACAGAAAATTTCCAATCATGTCCAATAAAGAGTGCATCTGTGAAACTGCAATATGTCTGGAGTCCTTGAAAATAGTTTTTTCTCAGTTGTTGGAAAGATGCTGTTCCCTTGAAGAGATATTATGTTCTAGGTAGCGGAGCCAGAGTCCCATAAAATTTTGAAATATTTTTCACAAAAGTATTGTGGCTCTCTTAGGCTACACAGTTAGACAGTTGCTCTGTTTGCAGGCATCTACTGAAGGATAGAACAGCAATAGGTCATCACTGTGTCAGATGAGACTAAACAACCAGGAAACATAATATTATTTAAACCCTTTCACAGCATTTAGAAAAAATGGGTAGTCTTTGGAATGTTTTCTTAGTACACTGGAAGAGAGAAAAAGGTAGAACCCAAGGTTGTGACTGTGAAATATTTAGCAGTATTATGACTGGATTGGGGGTAACTGGAAGTAAGGCAGTATTTCTTCATTAACAGAGTGGACATCTTTAATTAAAAAACATATTTTCACTAACTTTGTGACCTCCATAGAGGTATCCAGGTACAGAAAGGCTCTTGTTTGAAAAATATTTTGCTTTAAAAGTGATATAAATACAGAAAGGAGACCTGCTTCCATATGCAATAGATTCTGTACTAGTTTGCTTGGGCTGCTATATCAAAGTATTACAGACTAAATGACTTACAAGATAGAAATTTATTTTCTCACAATTTGGGGAACTACAAGTCCAAGATCAAGGAGTTGGCAAAGTTAGTTTCTTCTGAGACTCTCTCCTTGGCCTATAGATAGCTGTCTTCTCCCTGCATCTTTCCTCTGTGCATGTCTGTGTCCAAATTTCCTCTTCTTATAAAAATACCAGGGACTTCCCTGGTGGTCCAGTGTATATGACTTCATTCTCCCAATGGAGGGAGCCTGGGTTTGATCCCTAGCTCTGGGAACTAGATCCCATATTGCAACAACTAAAAAGATCTCACATGCTGTAACATAGCCAATGAAATAAATAAATAAAAACTAAAGATACCAGTCATATTAGTGACTAATACGAAGATTAGGACACACCCTAATCACCTCAATTTTAACTTACTTCTTTAAAGATCTTATCTCCAAATACAGTCACATTCTGAAATAACTGTGGGTTAGTATATAAATACGCGGAGAAGGCAATGGCACCCCACTCCAGTACTCTTGCCTGGAAAATCCCATGGACAGAGGAGCCTGGTAGGCTGCAGTCCATGGGGTCCCTAAGAGTTGGACACGACTGAGCAACTTAGCTTTCACTTTTCACTTTTCACTTTCATGCATTGGAGCAGGAAATGGCAACCCACTCCAGTGTTCTTGCCTGCAGAATCCCAAGGACAGGGGAGCCTGGTGGACTGCCGTCTATGGGGTTGCACAGAGTTGGACACAACTGAAGTGACTTAGCAGCAGTACATAAATACGAGGGTTTAAAGGGAACACAATTCAGCTCCTAGCAGGTACTTGGAGAATAGATTTATGTGTCAGAAGTGGTCACTGCAGGGCCCTACCCAGACCCTCTTGTTTTCTCTTTGTCTGCTCTGTGTGCCCTCCCCCAAGTTTCTGCATGCTTTGGTGCTAAAATCTTACACCTGTGGCAAAGCATGAACGGTCCTAAACCTTTGCCCTACCATACAGAGGGCTTGGAAGTGCCTGGGAGTCTTATAAGCCCACCTGCTTCCCTCCCCTCCTTTCCTGGGGGAATGGGGTGTCATCCAGAAACCCTTTCCATCCGGTCTACATCAGGTTGACAGGAAAGGAAGGATTTAGTTAAAAATGCTGAATGGCCCTAAGGTAACATTTGCAGGGAGAGAGTTGGAAGAAGTCACACTTTGATTAGTAATCCTTAAAACATTAGATATTTTTGAAGAGAGAGGAATAAGCCAAAACTTACCCGAACTGACCATGGGGAAAGCCCTTGACTTGGGTGCCACCTAGTGTATGGAAAACAGGAAGACCCGAGTGACCTAGGAGTTCTGCCCCATGTGGAAATGACCTTCTAATTCTTTGACTCCCATAAAAGGAGGACAGATTTGGGGGTGCATCTTGATTCTGAGCCCACTAAAGAGGTGGCACCAAGGAATTACTTCTGACTGATGTCAGTATGGGTACTTATTTTTTCCAGAACTCTCTGCCTGCAGAAATGTAAACTTTTCCACTCAAACTCTTTGGTAAAAGTCCTTCCTACCATTTCCTTTGTAATTTTTTTTGGTCTTCTTCCATTATTTCAATTTTCTTTCTTTTTTCAATTGTTTATTTTGGCTGTGCTGGCTCTTCATTGCTGCACATGGGCTTTCTCTAGTTGGGGTGAGCAGGGTCTACTCTCCATTGCTGTGCTCGGGCTTCTCATTGTGGTGGCTTCTCTTGTTGCAGAGCGTGGGCTCTAGAATGTGCGTCTGTACTCTTTAAAAAATATCAAGATGATAAAAAGGAAAGACCAAAGAGCTGTTGCATATTGAAGGAGAATAAAGAGATATAGCAACTAAATGCGTGATTCTGGATTGGATCTTGGACCTGTAGAAGATATCAGAATAATAGTGACGTGAGTGGGGTATATAAATTATATAGTCAAATTGCTCCAATGTTAATTTTCTGATTTGTTGGTTAGTTTTACTGTGGAGAGTGCCCTTTCTTTTAGCAAATCGACACTAAAGCATTAAAAGGTAGTACTGATGTATTAATGAAGCATTGTGTGCAACCTAACTTTTAAAAGGTTAAGGAAAAAACAAGTATGTCTACATATATACAGAGAGAGAGAGAGAGAATTACAATAAGGACGATAAGGTAGATGTGGCAAAATACTAAAACTTGGGGAATCTGGTTGGACATATAGGAATCCTATGTACTATTCCTGCAACTTTTCTGTAAGTTTGAAATAATTTCAAAATGAAACTTTTTTCAAAATGTAATTTTGGGGTTCCAGAATTGTCCTAAAATATCCACTCTCCATTTCTCAACCAACTCATACTTTCTTCCAGAAGGAAAAAAAAAAAGATCTCACGCACTCAGAGAGTTGAAGATCTTGCTTAATTCACAATCTAGAGACTTTAAGAAAATCCTCCTCTAATGTAACAGGTTCTCTTCCCCCAAAGTCAAGTGCTGGTGAGTATCTCAGTCAAGGTACAGAGTTTTTAAGCCGAAAAACCCCCATGTTAGGATTTTATTATTGGAGAATATTTATTCTTATTTTAATACATCTGCTGCTTCCATTGTCCAACTGGGTTGAGAGATTAGCTTAAGCTTAGCACAGGAGCTAACATCCACATATAGAAATGACTTTTTTCTGTTACATAAGTTTTTGTCCACTTCCTTATTTGACTTTTGTAATAGATTGGATCAATGCTTCCATTTCTTCACTTCCTTCCTGTACAAAAATTATATTTACATAAAAGGTTCAATACAGCAAGAAGATAACACAAATATTTACAGACATAATAACAAACCTCCAAAGTATATGAAGCAAAAACTGAAGGGAAAGAAGAAAGAAACAGTCCTATAATAATAGTTGAAGATTTCAGTACCGCACTGTCCATAATGGATAGAACCAGACAGAAGATGAGTAAGAGAATTTGAACAACACAAAAAACCAATTAGTTTTAACAAGGAGAACCCAACAACAAAATAAATATTTGTTGTTGTTCTACCCAACAGCAAAATAAATATACTTCTCACTTGCACGTAGGACATTCTCTAATACAGACCATATGTTAGACCACAAATCAATTCTCAAATAGATTTTTTAAAGATGATAAGGACACCGAGTATTTTCTCTGATTACAGGAGAATGAAGTCAAAATCAATAATAAAAGGAAAACTAGAAAATTCACAAAATCGTGGGAATTAAACAACACACTTTTAACCATTTTAACCAAACAACAGGTCAAATAAGAAATCAAAACTGAAATTAAGAAAATACTTAGAGATGAATGCAAGCAAAAAACACAGTTTTCATTTGCATAATAATTAAAATATACAATGAAAAGATGAAAACTTGTGAGATGTAGTGAAAACAGTGCTAAGGGGGATATTTAATGCTGTGAAAGCCAACCTTAAAAAGGAAGGAACATATCAAATCAATAACCTAAATGTACACTTTAAGGGATTAGAAAAGAAGAGCAAACTAAACCCAAAACGAGTAGGAAGAAGAAGTAATAAAGGTTAGAGCAGAGATAAGGGCCTTCCTGGTGGCTCAGCAGTATAGAATCTGCCTGCAATGCAGGAGACACAGGAGATGTGGGTTCGATCCATGGGTCTACAGGATCCCCAGAGGAGGGCATGGCAACCCACTCCAGTATACTTGCTGGGAAAATCTCATAGACAGAGGAGCCTGGTGGGCTACAGTCCATGGGGTCTCACAGAGTCGGACAAGACTGAAACGACTTAGCAGCAGCAGCAGTCAATCTAGCTAAAGGTCTGTCCATTTTGTTAAGCTTTTAGAAGAAACAACTTTCCATTTCATTGATTTCCTCTATTCTGTTTTCTATTTCATTTGTCTCTGCTTTGTGCATTGTGTGTCCTCAGTCACTTCAGTCGCATCTGACTGAATGATTTTTCCCACTACTGAATGATTTTATTTGTTTTTTTTTTTTAAAATCCAGGCCAGGATTCCACATTGTATTAATTGACATGTTTCTTTGATATTCTCCAATCTATGGTAGTTTTCTCTATTTCCTTATTTTTCCTCATTCCCATTTTTTCCAACTTTTGAAGAGTACTGGTCAGGTATTTTATAAAATGTTCCTCAATTAAGGACTTTCTGAAGTTTTCTCTTGACTAGATTGGACTTATTATGCCATTTGGGGAAGAACACCACAAAGGTGAAGTGTCCCTTGGGGTACAAGATATGAGCATGACTTATTACTCCTCGGAAGAAACACTCTAATGGCAGCCTTGAAGTTTTTCTTTGTGTCTTGACAGTTGATTTTCATATTGTGGGAATAACAAACAAAAGCAGTTTTTAACTGCACTGTTGGACCACTCTGGAAGAATTAAGAGCCTAGTAGTTTTTTTCTAAAACACTTTGTGGGGAGCATTGCCTTAGGATGACCCTGTGGAGAAAGAAATGGCAACCCCCCTCCAGTATTCTTGCCTGGAGAATCCCATAGACAGAGGAGCCTGGTGGGCTACAGTCCATGGGATCGAGAAGAGAAAAACAGTCCAACAAGAGTAAATAATGGGTTCAGTCATGAAGAAAAGTCAAAGACATTTAGTTCCTCTTCATGGGCTATTGCTAGTATTCTGAGCCATATCCTGTGAGCTGTTTTATAGATACTGCAAGCCCTACCCGGTGGAAGAAGTTAACCACGTGATGAACAGACTGTAACCATGATGTAAACTGCCACAATTCCAAGAAGACTACCCCTGGGCCAATTTCAAGATGACTGTCAGAGCTGACTATGCTGTTTCTCCATGTAAACTCCTCCCTTCAGCTAGAAGCTCTTACCTCCCCATGGGTTGCCAGCATCCAGAATAAGGCAAACTTCTTTTCACCAACCTTGACTCTCTTTTTCTTTAAAAAATGTATTTAGCTGCCCCAGGCCTTGGTTGCAGCATGCAGGGATCTTCAACCATCCTTGTGCTATGTGGAATCTTTCAGTGGTGGTATGTGGGATCTTTAATTACAGCATGCAGACTCTTAGTGGGATCAAGTTTCCGGACCAGGGATCCAACCCCGGCTCCCTGCATTGGGAGTCTTAGCCATTGAACCACAAGGCAAGTCCCAACCTTTCCTCTGTAGAGGTTTTTGAGGAGCAAGCAGCCAGACCCAACTTTCGGTAACAGCTGCACCAATTTACGTTCCCACCAGAAGTGTACAAGCATTCACCTTCCTCCAAATCCTCACTAACATTTGTAATCTGTGGTCTTTTCCAGGTAATTCTTAGAAACACTAAAGCTAATGCAAAGATGCTCTATTTTAGAACAAGCACTTTAAGACTCGGAATGACTTTCCATCTTATTTTGAGTCTTATGAAGAAGAAATATATGGTAAAATATATATATATAGGTTAAAAACTCATTTGAACTTACACTTAATTAAGGTTTTATACACCAGTTTCTCCAGGAAATGCAAATTTAACAGGAAAATGAGACATGTCATAAGTTCAAAATGCTCAAGGCAAACAATCATTATGCATTCCTGCAAATAAAATTGTTTTATACTGTAAAAAAATCATTTGAAGATCGTATGGCAATTAAGAATTTATTTTCTCCCCCTCTCTGAATTTTAACCTCTATGAGGCTTTCAGATACAAAATGACTACTGTTATCTCAGTATTGGATTAGTCCAAGATCCTAAAGTCAGTTAGCAACTTTACATGACATAATTAAATTATCACTAAAGAATAATACAACTGCTGATAATAATAAGTATCTGATGAAGAAATATGGCTTTACTCAGTTTAGTTAGCATAACTCCATAAACTCACATAATGTTTATATTTTCCAAGATTTAGAAGGACAAAATTTATGAAGATGCTAGTGATCCAAATCATGATCCAACTTAATTAGACATCCATTTTTACATTCAGAATCCTTAACATTATTGTAAGTAATAATAAACTGTATGACTCATGAGGCAACCATAAGGAATTTGGGTGATTGTTTTAATTTAACCTTTTTATTTAAACCAAATCCTACATAAATTAAAATGACATATTTTCAGGTTTATTTCTCTCAGTGGTAAAATCAAGAAGTCATATAACCATCTTTTAAGCTCCAGATTCAGCCTCAAAATTTAATTTATCAAACAGTATGCTGTGATTAGGCATATAAAATTAACTTTCACGGAATTTCCTCGATTTATTGAGTTGGTCAGAAAGCTTGTTCAGATATTTCCACGAGATGGTACAGAAAAATCCAAACTTTTTGGCTAACCCAATAGTTTATTTTCTAAATCAGCTAAAAGTCTTAGAGAGAGAGGTTTCTTAGAATCCCGTTTATGACTATGAATTGTTGACCTGATGTTGACCCTCGTATGTTCATTCTATGTCTTAAATTCAGCAGGGACATCTACATTACAGGTAGCTTTTCTCTTTTCTTATTAAAAAATTATTTTAAGCAAAGGAATTGTATTAGAGAAATGATGTTTAAATTTTTGCCAATATTTAATTGTTTATATGGTTATTCACATGACTTTTTAAATTTTTGCCAGAGTGTAACCTTTATCTTTTAACCAAAGTTTTACTTTTTCCATTAGGCAGACACAAAACTACCATAAGATTCAGACTAAAATTTCTTCAAACTATTTACTATATTTCTTTTACCAATCAATGCAAATTCAGTCAGTGACACTGGATTTGAGAAGACTGAGCCTGATGTTTTGTACACGTCCGTGGACATGGACAGCCCTTTAGTCCTGAACCAAAGCAATTTCCAAATTTATTTGAAGATAACCTGAAAGGAACCAGCTCTCCTTTGTCCTGGTGGTGGGCTTACACCAGATGCCTCCTAAATATGCTGGTGGTCCAGTGGCTAAGACTCTGAGCTTCTACAGTAAGGGGCACAGGTTCATCCCTGATCAGGGAACTAAGATCCCACATGCCACAGGGCATGTCCCCCAAATTAAAAATTTTTTAAAAAGAAAGAAAGAAAAGCCAGTCCTTCCTGCTGCTGCTGCTGAGTTGCTTCAGTTGTGTCCGACTCTGTGCAACACCATAGACGGCAGCCCACCAGGCTCCCCTGTCCCTGTGATTCTCCAGGCAAGAACACTGGAGTGAGTTGCCACTTTCTGCTCCAATGCATGAAAGTAAAAGGTGAAAGTGAAGTCTCTCAGTCATGTCTAACTCTTAGCGACCCCATGGACTGCAGCCTACCAGGCTCCTCCATCCATGGGATTCTCCAGGCAAGAGTACTGGAATGGGTTGCTATTGCCTTCTCCAGTCCTTCCTGAAGACCCCCAAATTTTCTTGGATGACATCCCCTCATTACTCTACTCATATAAGATGCAAAAAAGCCACAGTAAAAACATTGCACTAAGTGAATATCCACAAGAATAGGTAGAAGATATAAGGCCCAGTGAGAAAAGGCAAATTTTAGAATAAGTGTTGAGTAATGCATGCCATGATATACTTGTATGCAGAGTACATCATGGGAAATGCTGGGCT